TGTCACTCGAAACAGATTGACCATTAGTGAAAACCCACCAACTCAGGTTGTATCGATTTGGGTCTATTTTCGGTTTAGTTTGTTTGTTCAAAAGATTTGAACTTAAAAATTAACTTTAAATTTCATAAATTACAATGATATTATTAAAAAATAAATTACAAAAATTAAATCTATGATATAAAATATTTTAGACTAAGAAATATGAGAATTTTCCTACTTTCCCGTATAAAATGATTAAACTTAAAATATAAAATATTAATATATATTTATTAAACCAAAGCCGATCTGAAATGCTAGAAAACCGACCAACTCGGGTTGCGTTTGATATGATTGTTTATTAAAAAGTTAAAATATAAAACAATTATATACTCTTATGTATTTCTATTGTTTAACTTTTACTTAACAAAGCACGGGTCCCTGTCACCATGCCTCTCCTTGCTCCATTATCTCCACCCTGCGTTCTCTTTGACTTTCTCTCCTCTCCCCTTCCCACCACTCCCATTAAGCCATGCCACCCAACTACCTAAAAATATTCCTATAATCTCTCACCTAAGGTATCTCATTTAAACTAATAGAAAAGTATCATGTTGCCACATTCCCTAATCAATTCCTAAAATGCACCCCCCAATCTATATCCACTCTCCCTCATTTAAAATATTCATACTAATTAATAAATAGTTAAATACAGTTAATATTTAATCCCACCCATATTCGATGAGTATTAAGTAGTGTTATTACCAAAAGTTAATAAATACGGTTAGTAAATTACCAAAAATTAATAAATATTGTTATTAATTAACTCATTAACAACATTTTATAGAAATTGAAAACTCTTTAACTAATTTCTATAAAATTGAGAAGTATATTTAACAATTATCAAAAAGTATAAGATTTTAGTTATTGTTATTATTATAATTAATAACCAAATACAAATGGGGGAACAACATATTATAATGTTAGAAAATGAAATTATTAATTAATTTATATTGAAAAATAAAAAATAAATTAGTGTAATTTTGTTAGTAAACTACCAAATAAAAAATTATATTTAATAACAATTTAAAAAAAATCAATAAATCCCCAAGGTTACACAAATGTAATAAATTTTTCAAAAATTTTCATAAAATAACATTTTTAGAATTAAAAGATATAAAGTATTTGAAAGTTCATTTAAAATGCATTAAATAATTTTTGAAAACTATTAGAATATTTTGGAAATTTTAGGAAAATTTATTACATTTGATAGATTTTGGAAAACCATTGAAAAATTATGTAATTTTCATTGCAAATTATTGAAAATTATTAAAGATAAATGACTATGGGAAATGGAAAACTATAATTTGAACAAATAATTACACAAATTAATAAGATAAATTAGTATAATTCTGTAAGTAAACCATTTAAAAAGAAAATAAATTATTTAATAAAAATTTAAATAATTTTGAATAAATTTTCAAAATTACACAAGTACAATAAAATTTCCAAAAATTTCATAAAATTACATTTTTGAATATTAAAGACAATTTAGTGTACTTTTAGAAATTTACCATGTGGTTGATACTCAATATATCCTTTTGATCATTTATATCATCAAATTGAATATTAAGTTGATGGGGACAGTGTTTTCAAAACTGGATCAAACCAGATGGTTAGACCGGAAAAATTGGGAACCGAACACCATTTCACCTCAAAACCGCTTTTTGTCCAAAAACCGTTTATTTGGTTAGCGAACCGCTGACCTGGGCGGTCAAACCGTCAACCCGAACAACAGTTTTTGGCCTTTTTTTGCTTTTCTAATTTTTTATTTTTTTTTGTCAGGGTGAGTCATCCGTTCGGACCAAACAGTCAGACTATTCGACCCCAGAACGGTTCCCTATCCAGTCCAATTTTAAAAACCTTGGATGGGGAGTGGGTGCCTTGCCTTAAGCTTGGCTTGGTGTGCGGCATGACCGGGCCATGGACCAACCTGACCCGCGGCACAGCACGGGCCCATGCGGGCTCGAGCCGTGGGTCGTGTTGAACTGACCCCACAAATTATCCTAGAGGGAGGCACGGCCCGAGATGCCTCGTGGACCAGCATGACACGACTCACACTTTGTGCAAGCCACATGCGGGTCATGTTGTGCTGACCCAGCACAACCCAATTTACACCTCTACTTGAACCCGCCTAATACTGGGGATGGGGCAACGAAATTCAAGGATTCTCCATCCTTAATGAGGAGTGGGGTGCCTTGCCCTTGAACTCACCCGACATTGAGGAGTGGTTACCTTGTCCTGAACCTGCGTGACACTAGGAACGGGGCGGGGATGGGGTAGAGTGTCTTGACTATGGGGCAGGGAAAGGGATAGGGTGCCCTGCCCTGAACCCACCCCGTTGTAATTCCTATATAATTGTTAATTATTAGTGGAATTAATAAAAATGTTAACTTTATAATTATTTTTATTTATTTAAAATTAATCAAAATTTCATTTAAAAATAATAAAAAGAATAAAAATTATTAATAAAACTAAATTTATTAAAAAATATTTGTTCATATTCAATTAACAATAATTATTTTTTATAAATCAATATTAAATGAAAAATAAAATTATTAAATCTTTCAGATTTTCCCGTGCATCGCACGGGTCCCTACTAGTATAAATAATTAATTTCAGATCATGCCAAACCCATCACATGATATTACATTCAAAACTGTGACCACATTCAACTCCAAATGTTCAATTAGGATGATAACAAGCATAGCCCTGCAAACTTTTAGACTATTAAATAACATATTACCTGTTTTATGCCAAACATCAATAAACCCATCCTTCTTGATTCTTTCCATAAAATCTTTACCCAAACGATCCTCAATGCCTCTCTCCATATAGAAGCGTCCAGAAACATTGATAACTGTATGGACATCAGGAAATCTAGAGGCATATAAGAGCACCACATCTCCTCCTGAATAGCATTTTGAGCAATAAACCACTTTGAAGAAAATAGATGACATAAATACAAACAAGTAGCCTATTCAAACAAGTTTCCTAAACCAGAAAAACTGATAAAAAAGATGAAATATAGAAAAGATTATAAACTAATATGGTTTGTGAAGTCCAATTTACTTATATAAAAACAAAGAAATGACCCTCCTCTTCCTGTGAAAAATAATCTGGCACCATTAAGAAATAAGAAGAAATACATGGTGAGTTGGGAGCTGGTATGCCAGCCTAAGAAGGTGGGGGTATTCTCTTTGCCCATTATTTCATCTATTTTAAGCATTAATATCATCAGAGCCATGATATTTTTTTTCCTTTCATTTTTCTTGCCAAGTACAAAAAAAAGCATAGGTCGAATAAATAAAAAGGAGAAAAATAACAATGGTGTTCTCCACATAAAAGCTTTACAATGTCCTGGCCCTATATATTTTTCTGTTAATTGCAGCTTTAATGCCATTTCAAGTGCATATGTCAACACTGATAAGTTATTTCTTGAGTTATTCACCATTTTAATGAGCAAAATGTTTAAGCAGGCCTTTTTTGTTCTTTTGTCCTCCTTTTCTTGTACATTGTACTAATTATTTACTAATAATAAATTTTTGTCATGTTAGTAATCTGAAAAAAATGCTGAAGGTCTTAAATGCATAATTTAGCTGAAAGGTACTACTAAGAATTGTGGAGAAATTAGACAATTGAAGCTTATAATAAGATAAGAAATGAAGCTGGTCATTGAAATCCATTACCCACTGATATATGCACTGAACATCATTTCCTTTTTCATTACGAGATAAATATTAATTGACTATTATGAGACAAAAATTAATGAATAAATAGTAGGGAGTGTACAGAGTTACAAGAAAGCCTAAAGTTCATCTCTTTTAAGGATTCAATAACCTAACTTAAAAATGATGGAAAATTATCTGCTTGCCCATTAAAGATCTGCAACAGCAATGTAATAAGGTGGGGTTTAGCATGCTGAACATTATGACTTCCACTTAAAAAATGCTATTCGTGGTCAAATTCTTCAGTTCTTTTGTTGATCAGAAAAGAAAACTTTAATCATTCATTAATAGTATAAGAAGTGATAAGGACAAAGTCACCCTCCAGAAAGATGCTAAAGGAGTGTCTGGAACAGCCAAAGAGAATGCCATCGAAGACAAATACAAAGGCACCCTACTCTGGCAACGAGGATCTTTAGTTCATCATACTCCCAATTTGCTCTTTATAAATTATTGGCCAGGGAGTTAACTGAAATTGGAACCACTTGAATGAACTATTCATTATGGAAGAAAGGCTTTAGCTTACATAATATGATATCATAATGTACATAGTACATCTGACATGAACACCCTTCCCAAAAACCTGACAGTCAGCTCCTTATTGGCCCAATAGTCTCTCTCTCTCTCTCTCTCTCTCTCTCTCTCGGTAAGGCTCTACAAATTAAGAACGGGATACAAATTTACATACCTTTACTATGGCCAAGAATTGCAGTTATTAGACGTTTCAATCTAGAAAAATGTAGGACTACAGCATGCAGATCATCAGTCTCTCCACCATAGTTACCATACTGAAATGAACCTTCACTTTCCCTGAAGGCAGAGCACCATCAATTGCAGTTTATTTCTGAATATTTTTCAGTCATTTTGTGTTTTTCAGTTTTAATATATTTCTGAATTGAGACAAAGATTCCTGCTTAGAATTCTTTCCATCTAGAACTAGAAAACAAATAACAAAAGGTTCAAGCAAAAAAAAAGTTGGATAATCAACAAAGCCTGTCATGGAAATATATACACTTTAATTTCTTGGAGCCTCAATAACATCACAGCTGTTCCCTTGTAGGGAAATAGTAGGCCATGAGAACACATTCTGCAGAATAAAAACTCAGATTTTTATTTTCCATTGCAATGTTTTATGCAGTCATAAAAATCATTTGATTAAAGCATGATGTCAGGGCAAATACCACAAGTCATTGAAAGCAAATTAACAATTCCCTTGACCCTTTAAAGCATGAAGCAGTCATTACAATCATCATGCACACAACTCAAAAAATTGATATTTCAATTAGTTGGGGTTGGCTACATGAATACTGTTCTTCCATTGCATTCTTTTATCATCATCATTTACTTTATTTACCACCATGGTTTTGGCTGAAATGTTCCCTTTCATTCTTCTCCATCTAAGGTACCTCTGTAATTTGCAAAGTCATATGATGAAATGTATCTTTCATGGGTTCGACTATGATACTGGAAAGACATGATACCAGAAAAACGTACATCCAATCAACTGGTATTATAAAAGAGGTGGTCAATCAGGGGGCATTCATCACAATTCACGGGGGTGCTTTGATTGGTCAAAGCTCTTCCGGTACCATATCTTTTCCCATCTTTCATTGTAGGGACAGTTTTCCCTAATACCTGTTTTTTCTCCTTGTGATAAAAAACTCTCCTTCCTTCCTAGTTGACAAATTCACATCCACAAGTCTACTCACACATGAGGTCAAGAACTAAATCCAGATTGGACTTAGAGGCCCAGAACATGTAATCATACAGCAGATAACAAAATCTTTTACATATAATTATTCCCAGAAACTTTATATGAAAAGAAACTGAATATGTCATATGGTTTTAATACTAAAAGGATAAAAAAACAACAAATTAAAAAATGTTATCAACCTGGATGTCAACAAAATGTCCTATGTATAATTATTCCAAGAATCTTCATATGACAAGAGACTTGATACCTCATATGGCTTTATACTAAAAGGATAAGAAATAATAAATTCAACAACTTTTTCAATTTGAATGTTGCTACACATAATTTTTTAGAAACTCTTATATAAGAAATGCTGTGAACAACAAATCAATCAAGCATCCATAAATGAGGCTAAAACTAAACCATTTATAAAGCATCTGAATTATGAATTTTGTAATTACAGTGAATTCAAAAGAAACATAAGATGAAAAGCAATAGCAAAAGAGAAGATACTCTACATGAACCTTCTAAGGTCTTTCAGCTTTTTTGTCATTTATTGGCACCAGCTTACCCATTTCCTGAAAAGTCAAAGCGAAAGGCACTGATTCCTTCTTTCTCTAAAACTGTAGCAAGGTTCGTGATAATGCTGGATTCCTGCGCATGCCAACCCAAGCCATCACCCAACTGAAGACATTCATAACATTGCATAGGAACTAAAAAGCAACCATATTAACATACATCCAGCCAAAAACAAAGAAAAGTTAATGAAATATCAATAGGCTTATATCTTGAAAAGAATTAATTACATTTGCTAAATCAAAATATGCCAACAATATTCAACATGGATTTCACATTTGTGCAATTGAATTACTCATAAACTTTGAAATTTTTCATTAGTATACAATGTATGCTGGGGAGTGAACTTTAGGACAATAGTTACATGGCTAAGCTACAGAATAGTGCACTCCATATAAAAAGAAAGGAAAATTGGTACCAGATGAAATGAAATTAACAGTGAAACACTTCAGGCACATATTTTCACTCAGGCCAATTCAGGAAGACAAAGACAGAATTACTTTCCTTTTTTTTCTCCCTTGTTGGGTGAACATAAAATTTGATAAAGCATGATGATCGGAAGGTCCAGATTAAGGGAAAAGAAGCATAACTGAAGTACTTAGAATATCATAGTTCCCAACCTTTGAACATCGAAATCCATGGCACAAGATGACAAGTTCCACAGAACCTGTTTCATGCAAAACCCCCACAAGCTTCTGACCGTAGTTGTTCTGTATAATAATTCTCTGCTTCTGACTTACTGAGAAAGAAAAAATAGATTAAACATAACTTGTGTGACATTATCTAGAACTTCACCAATACCTTAAAGAAGATGGTATTTACATAGATATCCATTTGTTAAATGTATATTCCAACATTGAAGCCATTCTTCCAATGACTTAGGTGGTGTATGGTCAATGGTTCTAAAGAGGGTGGTATGGTTCTAGAACCATACCATTTTTTTTTTTTTTTGAAAATGACAATTTTTTATGGAACCACATAATGCAAAAGAAACTGTTCTGTTCATTGTTCATTTTTTGAACCATGATATGTGAGCATTGATTGTATGATTCATGCATGTATGCATCTACATTCACTATCTAGTTATGATCATATGGTCATCATCAAATAGAGACATTACAACTGGAGCCATATTGATGTGAGATGCACCATATAACTGTCATGTCCTGCTTACACAAGCGAACCATGTTTCCTGTTGAGAAAGCTAGAAAAAAGTTATGTTTCGAAGAAAGGCCATTGTGCTGGTTCTAGAACCGTGAGTTGTTGGTTTCAGAACCAGTAAACTTTTGAATCCTCAATTTATTTTTGGTTATAATCATTCGAGATAGTAAGGCCTATTGATATTATAATCATTCTTCTATAAAAAATTTACTTACCCAGATATTTTACTAGCAATGTGAATCATTTTATTCTTTGAATTTCTATGATTAGTGAATTGTTATCATACCAACAACTCGATTACAAGCAATGACGCGAGAAATATAAGTAAGAGCATCTTTAAAGCCTATGGATACCCATGAATGAGAATATAATGTCAAATATTTGGTATCCACGAAAGTTCGTATAATATTCAAGGAAATCGTTACAGTAGAATAAACAGAAGATATGACAAACTTTACACATTCAATTAGCACAAACTGGTGATTTGACAGTGCCTTCACTTATAGATTACAAATTGAATTATCAAGGCCGCTTTCATCAAATGACGATTTAATATATAAAAAGGAAACCTCTAAGCTACCAATCTTTAAATTGTACAAAGAATATCTAAGACAAAGTAACGAGAGTCATGATTCTTTCGAACGCCATGATAGATACAAGCCATAGAAGCTACTAGACAGACTGCTGATCAATGGGAAATATTCATTTGTGACTCAGTTAACAGGAACAATTAAATTCATTAAATTTCACGTCGTCTTCTTGGATCTATGAACTATAAACTGCTATTTACCTGGTTCATCGCGTTTATGGGCGGCCGAAATCAAACCCGACTGATCCATTGATGACGATGAACTGACAAAGCGATAAAGAAATTGCTAAGCGATCAACTGCTTGGTTTATGAGCGCAAGAAAATATCAAGTACACGGACTTCTTTTCTTGTACTCCTCACAAATCCATCTTATACCACGTGACGGGATCTGCTTCTCACTAATGGGCGCCTATAAGACGTGTGTGTGAGGCGCCTGTAATGCGTCAGGTGTGAAGAACAGATCCGGTCTCTCTAAAATGTTGTTTGTGGACCCACACGCAAGGATCCACTAAGAACGAGAAACTGTTTAAGATGTTTGATGTTGGTAGCGAATTACGGAATTAATTTGGATCGAATCCCGCCTGTTGGGTTGGGGTGGGGTTATGCTATGGAATTCACATTTGCCGCCCCTCATAGAAAGCGCCCAAAAAATGTCGCAGGATACATTTCAACCGTGTAGTGGGATGGGAACATCTCCGACTAACAAGTACTGAGAGCTGTTGGGGTCAAGAGTAGGGGTGATCATTTCAGCCGATTCGAGTTCGGACCTATATTAAGACTGAAAATTTTAGGGTTGAGCTTGGGCTTAATACTTTAAATCGGTCCGTATATATTTAAACTTATACGTTTTGTGTATAATGTATATATATGCATACATATTATTTTACATTATATTATATATTTTATATATAAATATTATAACATGTATAATTTATATTATATGTAATATTTTATATTATATAATATATAAAATAAAAGTGTATATGCATATTATGTCATTTAATATAAAATACTATAGATTTGTAATGTTTTATATATAAAAGAAATTGACTCAGAATCAGGCTCGGCCAGGCCTATATAGACTTGGGCTAGGACTTATATTTCAGGTCTGGAACCCTGGACCGGCTTGGGCCCGGGCCTAAATTGTAGCCCTTATCATAAGTGCAAAGCCCGACCTGGGCCTGACCTGGCCCGGCCTATGATCACCCCTAGGAATTTCTGGAAATACCATATTACCATGAGAATGGGTAAATTAGTAATCATATCTTAATTTATTTTGACTAAAAATCAAAGCATGGTGTAAATAGGTGAACTGCAGAGAAAGTGCCCAGCCCAAAAACTGTCTCAACAACCTATGATATTGGGCCCAAACAGCCAAAGTTAACCCTATTTTCAATGCACGCTGAAATGTAAATGGGTTGGGGATCGGCTACACAATTGTAGCCTTTCATTTTGTAAATTAGAAAGACACCCTTTACTATGGGTGAATGATAAAGATGAGATTCCATGACAGTAATAAATTTATGAGCCCTACTATAAAAAATGCGGGCCCAATGTCTTTAATTCCAACATGAAACCTTATCATTGTTTCCACACTTCCACAACCCGCTGAACAGGAACCAACCAGCGTGAAATCTTTATCATTAATAAAAAAAAAGCAAACAAGCAAACTAATGAGGTCTATCAACCCCAAGGCCTAACAAAGCAGAATCAGCCTCCAAAACAGGAACTAACCACTCTGGAGAAGAAGACCAGACCGGGAGCTTACTAACCCCACTAATCCTTTTGAAGCAAGACAGTGGGCTAGCTGCTGAAACACAATGATTCTTAACAAAACAAAACTACAATGATACACCATCCAAAGCAAGAATATTAGCTAAAAGAGGCCAAGTAGTAAGATGACAGCCAAAAGATTTAGTGGCAAGAGTTTTTGTAAGAGAGAGAGAGTCACTTAAGACTATCAGGTTCATGATACCAATAGACTTCTTTGCAGCAACTACAACAAGATCTAATAGAGAAAAAGGCTTCTGAGTTCTAAGTGATTTGGTCTTACAAGCTAAGAGCCACAACTAGCTTGCAAAAAAGAAGCATTCATCCTAAAGTTAGACAATTCCAATCCAAACAAACATTACTTGTCCTCCTAGGATGCAAACAATCCTCCAATTCTTGAGGGGAAGTTTTCTTCACTTCATCAACTTGTTCACAGAGAGAGTGGTTGAAAATGGATTAGGGTAGGCACCATTAAAAATAAATACATTTCTCACTTTCCAAACAATTCATAACATAATAGCTGAAAATTCAATGATGCCCATATCTATTTCTTATGAGCATGAAACTTGCTCCAACCATCTTGTCCACTAATCTGCAAAGGAGGAAAAGATATATTCAGATTACAACCAAACCAGCATGCACGACCACGAGCATGATCAATTGATCATCACACAGCAAAAGAGGATGGGTAATGCTTTCAGATGACCTTTCACATATATAGGAGACATATCTCATTGATTTGGATTCCTCTATTAGCCAAAACCTTATGTACTGCTATACTATTATGACAACATTTCCAAATGAAATATATGATTTTCTGAGGAATATTCTAAGACCAAGCCTTCTTCTAAGGGATTATGGATAAACTAGGAGAGGTATTTTCAACACTATCATGATCAGAAGACAGTTTCAGAACCACATGATAAGCAGATTTATTTGACTGAGAATCTACCCTTGGGGTCAATGGTCCAGGATAATCTATCTTGCTGAGATATAGAATGAAGATCCATCTCCATTATCTTTATCGCTGTATAACTATTAAAGTTTTGGTCCCTTGCAAAAAAAAGAGAAAAAAAATATACCTAAATCCAAATTCGATTTGATAATAATTAGACTTAACAAATCAAATTTTATTAGATTGGATTCTGATGGAAATATAGGAATAATATTTAAATATTATTAGATCGGATCATATAAGATCATAGATCCATTTTAGAAATAGGTTTGAATCACAATTAACGGGGTTTAAGTATATGCTTTACAACTTATGTTTATTTGCAATTTACAAAGCCGGTTAGGGGTGAGCAATCAGTTTATTCGATTAAAAAATGAATTAGATAAATTAAAAAATTTTAATACCGAAGTTTTAAATGAAAAATCAAACCAAAATTGAATTCAAAATTTTTGGTTCATTTTTTTGTTAAAATCAAATTTCATTAATATATTAAAATATACTAACATATTAATATATATACACACACATATAAATATAAATATATATATATATATTATACATTATATAATATAATATATATCAGATATTATATATTAATATATATTATGTATACATAATAAAATTTGGTTAATCCAGTTTTTTCAATTAACCAAATTAGCAAACCTAAAAAATCGAAACCAAAATTAAACTTTTACAAAACCAAATTAATCGAACCAAAATAACCAAACCCAAAAACCAAAACTGAAGCTTTCACTTTCAGTTTGATTTTTTGGTTTTAACTAAAGACATGGTTACCCCTACTACTTATAGATGATCCACATGTGCGTTCAAGCACTGATGAGCGCATTGAACCATTCCTCACAGTGCAGGCACAATCACATAATTATTGGAAATGCTAGGGAGAGAGTTGTAAAGTGGGCCATCCACATATGGGCTGGCATGGCCTAGCACAACAACAAGCACGGCCCTGATCACTGTAGCAACTACCAAGTGGGGCGTGCCAGGCCTCAAAACCCAAGCCTCCACTCTCCAGGTCACAACACAACGTGAAAAAAATAGGCCGTGTCAACACAACCCTTGTGTCAATTCAGATGGCAGCCCGATACTGCCCACAGATATATATTAATTTCAATTTTATTTTATATATAACAATTGTATAAATCAAAATTCATTTGGATTAAAATTGTAACGTCTCGCTACAGTGATGGAGGCCCATGTAAATGGGCCGTAGCCCACAAGAAAAAAAAAATCCATTTTTGTTGAATTTACAGTGGCGATCACGTCTATTTGCTGCGAACAACCTTTCCCCCACAGAATTGGTAACAAATGCAACCTTCATCGAAGAATATCAACTGGGATTGTTTTCGGCTGCAAGTTTATTTTAAATGGACTTTGCACGCAAGGATGTACATACTCTCATGAGTGCAGAATGTTTGGTAATATAAGCCCAATATATTTAGTAGTAGTTATTACAGAAAAATAAAGTAGGTGCACTACTCAAGACAAGCTGATGAAGTCATGAAGATAATAATCAAAACTGAAAACTGAGAAGGCCAAATTTCTTCACAAGCTCATTCTATAGATAATAGTCCCAATATACACTATCTCCTAAGCTGTTTTTTTTTTTTTTTTTTTTGGTTTCTTTAATTATTCCAAGCCTCAAAATCCTGTCCCAACAAGGTGGAGATATCACACTTATTCAATTAGTAGATCAGCACCATGGCTCACTGAGTCCAGTAGAAGTCTCAATTGTCTGCAGGTGCATTAGCAACTTCCACCTGTATTAATCGAATCCATCAGTATCATGCTTAAGATAGGCCTTTGCACTGACAATTTAGTAGCCAATTCTATCTTCCTTGGTTTGGTGAGCTCTTATTCTACTAATATTTGAAGAGACATCAGAATCTTGAATGAACAAACTTATCTGCTCTTGCACACGATGGTACCTGGTTACGAATATCCTTGTCTTGCTGCAGGCCTGCCCTTGTGAAGTCTAACACCACTGAAATTAATTCAGCTTGATGTGAGGTATATCCATGATCAGCCCCTTCTATTATGTGGATCTTGTGGTTGCGTATGATCTTGGCAAATTCCAATGCATCTTCAGCTGGCACAATTTCATCTTGAGAACCATGAACTGTCAAGACCCTGTAAATAGTTTCAGAGATGATTCAATACACATGGGTAATGAAATATAGATGATTGACATAATCTCTTTTGTTGGTAGCTAGAAGTTCGCAATCAAAGGTTAAGCCAGATGAAGTTTTTAATAAGAAAGCCTCTGCCCATGTTGAGTAAATAAGGTTCCCTTGGTTATTATAAAATAGCTGGAAAAGTTTTGAATCTGTAGAAATTAATTTATTGCTCTGGCTCTTTCATGGTCAGAACTTTGTTTTTGGCCCTGCTACATACAGGCAAAGGCATCCTAAGGAAACAAGCCTAGTAATATATATGCTTTTACTCTGATACTGGATACCTGTTCAAAGGTGCTTTAGTTTGTTTCGTGCAGAGTATCTTGTGAACATAAGAAGTACAACGGGAGAGTACTCTGGAGTTCCTTGGACAAAGTGGATAAATTAAGGGATAAATTAGGCAGAAAAGAAAGCATTTACCGTTCTACTTTTTCAACTTTACTTTCTCAATAGGACTTCTGGTTAGATTCTGCATTCCATGCATACTACAACTGCAGTTGTTATGTAAAATACAGCATATTGGAAACGAAGATAATGCAGAGATTAAATAAAACATGTAATTATTGCCTTAAAGAAAAGGAAAAACCAAAACAAAATATAACTAATCATAATTTATCTAACAAGCATAATCTTACAAGTAAATATTATTTTTCTGATGCATAAGTTTCTTAACAATATAAGAGTACCAACCCTTTACGCATTATGGGTATGATCAAACAACAATGGAACTGTTGGATGGAATGTAATCCAACCTGCATTCCTTTTCAATCAAATGACATGCTACAGCCATGTCAGCATTTAGGCGATCCAACAAACTTTCCTCGGTCACACGATACTCAGCTTTGCCTAAAATGCAATTAAATATCAATCAGCTATTCTGATAATGTTTATATCATCTTCAAACAAGAAATTAGGATCAAAACATGATTCCTCATAATTTTCTGAACTTAATATTGTCAAAGCCTAAGAAAATATGATAAAAATTACATGGCAAAGACACATGTTTTAAAAGACACAAAAGCAATTAGAAGCACTAAAGGAACCAAAGGAATGTATATGCTTCTTTTCTTAAGGCTGTGTTTGGCTGCAATGCAAATAAATTTGGACTGGTACAAAACCATGGCAATGCAAATGATTTGAGTGTAAATTCAGACCTGTTTTTGTTTCAAATTTTAGCTTATTTTGTTTGATTGCAGTACAAATGAAGTAAATTAAGCCATGAAGCAGAATAAAGTAAAATCCAAAACAAAATTAAACAAGAATTTGCATATTTTAAATTTGCACTCCCATGCATTAAAATTAGTGCAAATAAATTTGCACTGCAACCAAACACAGCCTAAGTTGTCTGAAGCTGGCTCATTTTGAAACTTCTCCCTAATGTTGATATATAGATAGATAGATAGATAGATAGAGAGAGAGAGAGAGAGAATAATAGAATTGACAAACTGAAAAAGATGGATAAAGTATGTAAAGCCCATATCTGGGAAAAAAACTCTGTATGGTGGTGACTTTAACCACATTCAAATTGAAATAGGATAATGTGAAACATGACCACGAAATTCTTAGATTGAAAATATTAAATAATTGCTTACCTGTTTTATCCTTAACATCAATAAATCCATCTTTCTTGATTCTTTGCAAAAAATCTTTACCCAAGCGACCTTCAATGCCTCTCTCCAGATTAAAGCGGCCAGAAACATTGATAACAGTATGTACATCAGGGTACCTAGAAGCATACAAGAGAACCACATTTCCCCCTGCAAGATCCTTGTTCAGTAACAGCAAAACAAGCTTGATGGAAGACAACACTAAGCTGTTCAGATGGATTTCTGAACTACATACTATACTGTGAATGTGAGCAACAAGATGTTTTCAATTTGCTTCTTTCCCTNTGAACTACATACTATACTGTGAATGTGAGCAACAAGATGTTTTCAATTTGCTTCTTTCCCTCTTTTTTTTCTTTTTTTTTTTTTTGGGGGGGGGGGGCATCATTTTGAAATATAAGGAAATAAATGCCTGCTCTTCCTCTGAATATCAATCACATTATATTTAATACTTGTCATACTTATTTTCTGATACAGGCAGTCATACCTTTTCCAAGACCTAACACACTTGTGTTAATGACTTGGGATTGGCCACATGAAATCTGTTCTTCTACTCCATTCCATCAAGGGGCCACTCTGTTTAGATTATAGGTCTACAAGCTTCAACTATTTTTTTAATTATCTTTTGATAGGTCAAGCTTTGACAGCCAGGAATTATCAACCTTCATGTGAAAAATGGTATCATGCTCAAAAATACATTCTATTTAGATAATATGATATTATGATTTAGCTCATTCAGTCTTAAATCTTATATTATCATGAAAATGCTCATGGTTTGGGGGCATATATTTTTCTGCCTACTGCATTTTTAATCTTCTCTGCACAGCATATGAAGGGGTATAGGATTGATATGATCCAAGGATGCACTGGTAATAAATTTGATGAAAACTGGAAATGAATTGATATTTTCCAGAGATAAAATTCACTGTTTGGGTTTGTTAGGCTAAGGTGTCTCTAGGGAAGGTGGATGACGATTTATCTAGAAATATAAGACTGTATGATTTGATTAGGAAGCTAATGTAGGGCTGGAATTCCTAAAATGTTTGTGCCAAAAATGAAATTCCTACAATATGTAGAAAATTCTAGGGAGAGAAAACAAAAAAGTCCAATATCTGAAGATTGGAAAGAAATTTATTCAAACCATTTTAAAGGAATGTTTAAGGTGGATAATTAATGAAGGGGATAGATTTGGAGAGGTTCTTAGATGATTAGGCACAGAAGAACGAGAGATCCCAAATTTAGAGACCATGATTATGTACATGCATGGTGAAATGCATCTCATTTTTCATTATCAGAAGTTCGTATTGAACCATTCCAATACCACAAAAAAATATGAACAGTTTAATGACGTGCAAGTTCAAACCTAGAAAAAGAAGATGCTGATTAGCTCAGTTGGTAAGTTCTTTTGCTGGTTGTGGCAGAGACCTGGGATGGAATCCTGCCTTCACCAGGATATGAGTTTGGGAGATGGCTACCCCCCATTGTGTAGCCCCAGGGAACCAAAAAAAAATCAAACTGAGAAAAAACCCATTTTTTATCTGCATTTTCAACATTTTAGTGGAGGTAAAAAAACATAGTCATTTTCAACATTTTTCAAAGTGCTGGCTTCCAGAATGGCTAAAGTGATTTCACCTCCAATAGCTGAAACCCAAGGTGCCTTCATTGGGGGAAGATTGATTGGGGATAGAGTTCCCATGGCCAACAAAGTAATTGACTCGAGGAAAAGAAGTGGGCATGCGGGGCTGTTATGTAAGGTGGACATGGAGAAAGCCTACAACCATGTAAATTGGAATTTTTTAGATTACATGTTAGGAAGGATGTACTTTGGAGTGAAATGGAGAAATTGGATAAAAGTGTGCCTATCCTCTTCATCTTTTTCAGTACTGGTAAATGGGAGCTCATTTGGGTGGTTTAGGAGCTCGAGGAGCTTAAGACAAGGGGACCCTCTCTCCCCACTATTATTCATTTGTGTGACAGGAGCCCTATCCAGATGGGTAGAGAGAACTTGATTAGGACTGGTGGAAGGTTTCAAGGTGGGAAACGGGGGGTTAGAGATAGCCCTAATTCAATTTGCAAACGGCACTCTTTTTTTTTCTGCGATGCCTCTTGGGAGCAAATCTGGAATGTGAAGGCATTTCTAAGGTGGTTTGAGGTGGTAACTGGTTTACACATCAATATCTCAAAGAGTGAAATAATGGCTGTTGGGGAGGTGTCAAACCTGGAGTTATGGGCAGAGGATTGGGGCTGCAAAGTTGGAAAACTCCCTTCCAAGTATCTGGGTATGCCGTTGGGTGAAAACTGCAAGTCCAAGGCTATTTGGGACCCCATCATAGAGAAAGTGAACAGAAAATTGGCTTTGTGGAAAACCGAATGTTTGTCCAAAGGGGGCAAAGTAACTCTAATCAGAAGTGTGTTGTCATCTCTTCCTGTTTTTTACTTGTCACTATTCCTGATTCCGGCCAGGTGGGTAGCTGTGATAGAAAAGAAGATGAGGGACTTTCTCTGAAGGGGTTGGAAGGAAGAGTCAAAATGCCACATAGTGATCAGGCCAATGAAAAATGAGGGTCTAGGAATCAGGCCAATGAAAAATATCAGCACAGCCATGTGAGGAAAGTGGTTATGGAGATTCAATGAACAACCGAATAGTCTGTGGAGAAGATTAATAGTGGCCAAATATGGGTCAAGTACAAGAGAGTGGGATACTGAAGAAGTTAGAACATCTTATGGATGCTCCCTATTGAAGGCAATTCAAAAAGTTCAACATCAGTTTCTGAAAGGAATAAAATATGAAGTTGAGAATGGCCTCAAGGAGTCAGGGTGATATTTTGGAAGGTTTTCTGGTGTGGAGATGGCCCTTTAAAGACTCTGTTTCCCGATCTAATCGAGATCTCAGTAAACAAGGATGCATCTGTGGCTGAATGCTTGGAAAGACAGAATGGTCAATGTATCTGGAACCCCCAATTCAAGAGAAATTTAATGATTGGGAGGTGGCTTCTTTGGTCAGGTTATTTCAAGTATTGGATGAAGCAAAGAAAACGGGAGTTGGAGAGGACAAAAGGAAATGGCTCTTCGAGAAATCAGGCACCTTCTCTGTGAAGTCCTTCTCCCATAGCTTGTCTAGGGAGGAGCCCTCTGCTTTCCCAAGTGACAGAAGTTGGATCAGATCTGTTCCTTCTAAGCTGGCTTTCTTTGTCTGGTCAGCAGTGCTTAAGATTTTTTTTTTTTTTGATCATTTTTTTTATCAATGTGCTGGATAAGATTTTAACTTAAGATAATTTAGTTAGAATAGGTTTAGAGGTGGAGGACTTGGGATACATCTTATGTGGTGGAACTGTGGAATCCTCTAGTCATTTGCTGATCCACTGCAGTTTTACCCATTGGATTTGGATGAGTGCTGAATCTGTTTGTGGTTAAGATGTGCTTCTCGGCTGATGTGAAGGGATTTATAGCAGCTTGGACACTTGGAGGTTTATCCAGGGCTGGAAAGGTAGCATGGAGTATCCTTCCTGCAGCGGTTTTTTGGGCACTTTGGTGTGAAAGAAATAACAGGCTATTTGAAGGAAGACAAACTCCAAAAGAAGTTTTTAACAGAATTATGGGGATGGTACACTCTTGATTGGCAGTTAATCAGTTATTCAAAAATAGGCATATGTCTTCCTTTTTTGATTCAGACTTCCTATTTGTAAGGAATCTATAGTCTTTTCTTGGTCTTTTGGAGAATTGGAAATCTGTGGATAACTGTTTTCCTGCTGTACAGCTTCTCATTGTATAGAGGCTTCTTTGTAATTTGGCTTTTGATTTTAATAATTACTTTACCTTGCACTCAAAAAATACCAGTACAATCAAACTTTTGTCAACAAGAAGGCTTTACTGATTAGATTGTAAATTCTCCAAAAGCCGCCATAATGGTTCCCTCAGATGTAAATAAAACCATGATTCTTTTATATGCTGCATGGACATTAACAAGTGTCAGAATGTGACACAGATCATTGGTATCGGCCCTGGAAAACCAAAAAAAAAAAGGATTTGGGGGATTGACAGTTTGCAATTCATATCTTTTTTTTGGTAAACAGTGCAATTCATGTCCAGGTTTGGCCTAAAAATTGGTATTTTTAGTCGTATATTACAAATTCAACAAAGAGAAGAGAATCACATGAAGTGTTGTTTCACATTCACTGTTGGTGTCCACACATGTGGACATATGAATCATCTTTGGTTAAAGATATCCATGTAAAATAGGTGCTCTTCTCTTTACAGCTAAAGCTTGCAATATTAACATATAATATATACATTAGCGCACCTTTACTATGACCAAGAATTGCAGTTATTACACGTTTAGCCCCAGAAAAGTGCTTGATTACAGAACGTAAATCATCAGCCTCCCTCCAATAATTACCATACTGAAAAGAACCTTCACTTTCCCTGGAAAGAAGAACATCATTAGCTCATATACTTTAGTAGGGAACTATGGTCTTTTCTGTTTTGTTAATAGGGGTACTCTTTTAATTGTCCTTTTACTGGCAGCTATTTATCTTTTATGGTCACCATCTTACCCATTCCCTGCAAAGTCAAAGCGAAAAGCACTGATTCTTTCTTTCTCTAAAGCAGCAGCAATGTTCAGCATAGTGTTGTTTTCCTGGACATAGAAGCTCATCAAAATCACAACTAAATGACCGCAATCCTAACCTTAGATCATCATTGACAAGAAGAAACCAAATGATATTATGCATCTATATTAAAGTGATTGCTTCAACTTGGATGTTCAAAAGATGCTAAAATTTTCCATCTGATAACATGTATGCTAGGGATTGATGTGTCCAATCTATTGTCTGTTGACTAAAGAAAGCATAGTTATGACCATAGTAGACTAACCAAAATAAATAAATGAAAGAAATTGATACTTTAATAAGAAAAAACACTTTATAAATGTTATAATTTTTTCCAAGTCGTTCTGTACAAGGACCAAGAAGTCGTGCATATCCCTGTAATTATATTCCCTATCTTTGGAATTTTTATGAATATTTGGAATAAATTCACTTGCAGATAATTATGCATATTCCAAAAATGTAAATTAATAAGTATTAATGCACGAGTTTTTACAAAATTTAGGAATAAAAGCACATATTGGAGGTCTGTAAAAAAAAAAAAAAGGCATGGCCGCATGGCAACAAGCCTCAGGGAAACCATTCTAAGAAGATTGTGCACATTAATAGAGCCAAAACATGAAGAGAACAAGTATTTCCAATATCGAAACTACAAACCTTTGAAGATCGAAATCCATGGCACAAGACTACAAGCTCCAATGAACCTGTTTCATGTAAAACCCCCACAAGCTTTTCGCCATGGTCGTTCTGTATTACGATTCTCTGCTGCTGAACCACTGAAAGAGAAAAAATGGATGTATATCAAATGACAACGTTAATAATCCCCAAGATGTTTAAACAACACAATAAAAAAGATTCTATTTTGCTTCTTCTATCAAAACCCCAACAGATTTGTGACTGTAGAGTCAATAAAACTTGTGCTTTTTGTGAGCTTCAACAGGTTTAAAAAAAAAAATAATGTTAGAACAGAAACCGTTTATCTTATTGAACACGAAAATGCTAATTGGAGCTAAAGATGGCATAATTACTACTTCGTTAGAATTTAATCACCAAAAAGAAAAGAAGGGATTCTCCCACCTGCTATCGAACAGGTGAACAGATTCGACCCGACTTTAATGGAAATAATTCTTTACAGAAACAAATTGAATCGATAACGTTCGTTGTTGTTGAATCTCTGTGTTAAAGCATTTCCCATCAAGCCTGACTAATGAGCTATTCTACTTACCTATATCTTGGGTTTGATGGGTTGAAGACGAATTCGCCATCCTCACGGTGCTTCCGAGGTTCCGAGTTCGTGAGGAGACAGCTATGCTGTGAGGAAGCAGGAATCTTGGAGTTGAAGGGTGGTGACTTCTAATTACCGATGAAATTGACAAGGGTGATCGAAGGTTATGACTATAAATAACAAGGGATGCCATCCAATTATGTCCTACTCTTTATTACTCACTCCTTGTTGGGTTGTGATTATTCAATCATGAAAACTAAAAAATTGTTAACGCCTTTGCTCACTCCGTCACTCGTTCTCGGGTTAAATAGGGCTGTTTGGTTACAGCTCAACCTTAGCTAGAATACAGTTAGTTGGTCTGTTAAAATAACAGAAACGCTCACGTGATTGTTCGGATCTCCGACCCTGTGAACCTTACCGCACGGTCCGCACCTACCCAGTACCCATCCATAGACTACAGCCGCACATCGGGATCTGTTATGTTAATTCATGGAAGATATTTATTATGTGAGGTTGTGGTGTTCTGGATGCAAAATAATATGAAAATTGAGCCTTCAAAAAAAGATAATATGAAAATTGATGCAATATAATCCAAATGTAAATGATAGTTAAACATGAATTAATGAAAAATAAATAAATCATATAACATGTTCGAAGTTTAAACTGAATTTGGATCGGACCCCGTAACTACGGAAAAAGTAGGGAAAGGAAGGAAAAAGGCAGGAGGCAATGTTTTCAAGACCGGATCGAACCAGATGATAGGACTGGAAAAATTGGGAATTGATCATCTGATCGGTTTCATTTTACCTTAATACTGTTATTTGGCCAAAAACCGCTGATTTGATTAGTGAGTCATTGACCTGAATGGTTGAACAGTTCATCCTGAGAATGGTTTTTTGAATGTATTTTGGTTTTTAAAATTTTTTATCTTTTGTTAAAATGAGCCATCCATTTGGACCAAATGATCGGACTGTTTGACTCGAGAACCAAACTTCAAAACAGTTTCTTGTCTGGTCCAATTTTAAAAACCTTGATACTAGGTTTGTATATGTTTCCTTTCCTTTTCCTACCTTTTTTTTCAAACCAAACATAGTCTTAAGTTAGGGGTTATTGCTGCAGTACAAGCTTTTGTGATGAAATGCAATATTGTTGTTGTCTCATTCATTTCATTGGTGGGAGTGGGGACGTTATCGTTGATAATTGATATTTTCAGGGTTCACCAGGAAGGAGAAGCCATACACCAAGATTTGGTTGCACAGTTGGACCATTTTCCAATCGATGGCGAACCACAGTCAAATAGATGCCGAGTGAAGCAAGGAGTGCTCCAGGCTCCAGCTTATTAGACTGGTTTAGGTAAATCAAATCCGTTCCATAACTATAGGAATATCATTTTTAGTTAACGTAGTAAAACAAAACCAAAACCGGAACCATCCAGGTTCAATGCAGTGGTAGGATGATCCAGGAGTTGTATTGATTTTAGCTATATTCAATAACTTCTCCCATCGCTCAAGCTCCCCCTTCTCACTGTAAGAGCTGATTAACCCGCTCATATCTACCCGACAATAGAAACCCCCGTTGCTCTTTGTGCATTTAATACCCAACTGATCCAACCCTTCTGTAAATGCCAAATACATTCTTCAAAGCCTTTCCCTATTGATCATACGTAACTACTTGATAAATCTATTATCTAAGATCATAGAGATTCAAAGACGCTGGGTGGGGGCTGAAATGGATGAGAATCTTGCCAATCTTTTAGTAGCAGCCAAAGCATTCTCATTGAAAGTATAGATGACCTCCACCCTAAACCCCGGGAGACAAAGGTCTTTGGATAACCCATATATGATATGGACCCTGCTCCTGTCAAAATCCTCGGTTTCAAGAACATCAGCCACGCACTCCCCTGAGCCGAACAAGATTCCGGTGCTGGAGTTGAGCCACCACCACCAGCTCTGCTGCGATTCCGGAGCTGAGTTCGAAATATCGTAACAAGGTATCAAAACGTGCTTCAGTGTGTCTTTTAGCGTTAGACTATGGCCTTTATCCGCAAACATCATCGCCTTCTCTAGCCTGTATGTCGATGAACTGGTTGAACCGTTGGCTCTACCCTTGAAGAATTGCGCCTCTTCATCATTAGTATTGTCAAAAGTTTCATTTTGAAAATTAAAAAGAATAATGGGCAAAATTGTCTTTTAAATCCTTCCATTAACGGATACTAACGGTAAAGAAGATTTAGTCAATTGGCACCCTACAAGCGCCTTACATGCATTGGGAACATCACCGATTAGCTAGGGGTGTCAATTGGACTGGATTTGGTACAATCCGATCCAGTTCAATGTGTGTCTATTATAAATGGACCAGGTTCAATCCGATCCAATGAATGTTTTAGACCAATTTGGACCAGTCTAATTCAATGTCCGTACTGTTCAATCTGTTCAACTTCATTTTGGTTTAAATTGGTTTCAACCCAAACCCGGTCCATTGGCACATATATTCTTATCTTATATCAATGGACCAGATATATATTGGCTTAGTCCAATCCAATCCAATAAAAATTTGTTACGAACAGACCATGTCCAATCCAATCTAATAAATACTTTAGACCGGATTGGTCCAATCTAATATGTCTTGTTGGTCCATCCAATCTGTCCAAATTAATTTTAGACTGGATGGAGTCTAATCCAAAACTGATTCATTGACACATTTAGATATGACATTAAACAGAATAAAATAGTGGAACAAAAATCATTGTAGCTAGCCCCATATAATTGAGATATGATAATGATGATGATATATTATTTATGTGTATAAGTATACAATTTAACTGCACTCAGATTGGATCGATCCACACTTGAACAAATCTTCTAGATTTGACATAATAAGATCAGCCTTATACATGTTTATTTTGTTTGGGACCCATTCAATCTACGTTGAATTTGTTTATTTGATTTAGTAAACTGAGGGAAGACATTGTTCCACACTGTAATTACAACTTACTTTTATCTAAAGTAATGAAAACTAAACCATTGTGACATGTGAAAGCCTTTGTGTATGATTTTTAGTCGAGTTAAAAAACCAAATTAGATTTGTTTTGTTACTGAAAAATATAAGATACTTTTTATTGGGGTGGGAACGAGGCTGCATGTTTGAAGGAGAAGTCCTCATTATGTCTAAGGGCTTTACTTTAATATGTATATTAGAAGGGGAGCATGAATGAATCATAAATTACCTAGCCAAAAAAAGTCAGACAACATGAAAAACAATAAACAAACATATAAATATCAATATAAGATGCCAGATTTCTTTCTGCTAGAGAAAAAGGCAGGAGAGAAAATAAAAAATATAAAGAAAAAAAAAGGAGAGGGAGCACACTTTATTTTGATTTTTTTTAGAAAATGAATAAAAAACATAAGGAGAGTCACATAATCACCCCTACTATAAGGTATAGATATTGAGTTGAAGCTAACTCTTTGTTCTAGTGTTGCCAATGTTGCCATGTTGGTTTGATCTATTTTGTGTTTCAATGATATTTCCTTTTACTAGAAGAAAAATATATAAGTTAAAGATTTCTATGTTTTATGACAAATTGTCATGGAAAAGATGTTAAGAATCCTACCATGGATGGGTTTGGGCTTGGGCTGATTCCTTCGGCAGCCCAAGCCTAGATTAACCCAACATGACATAGACCAGCTTTTCTTGTTTAGGTTATAAATCCTTAGTATATAATGTTGATACTTGCCTTGGTTTTTTGTTTAGGTTATAAATGTAAAATCAGAATATTTTAATAGTATGATATAATATCAATATTTGCAAATGGTGGTTGTCTAGATATTTTAATCTTTAAATCTAATAACTAAGTTAAGACTTAAGACATTTAAATAAATATAATTAAAAACTCAAAATCTAAACGTCATTTCATCTTTCAACCCTTTTATCTCTACTTATACATGTGCATGTATCCCTTACAATATTGTATATAATTGCAAAGCTTGAGTGATATAACATCAAAATGTAACCAACTTGTCCAAACCTAATCGAACCTGCCCAAGCTCAAGACTGGTCCAAATTGTATTTAAATTAGTTCAGGTTGGGCTTGGGTTTGCAATGAAGAGTTAGTCTTAATTTGACTTGGGCCTATGCTCAAGGTCCCTTAAAGTCGATTCAATCCAATAAAGTTGCATCCTTAACGAGAGAGAGAGAGAGAGAGAGAGAGAGCTAAGAAGGATTTTGTTAAAGTGGGTCTAGGGATTTTGAAGGGAGAGACACTAAACTTTGGATCTACATATTTTTACTAGTTAAGACTTGTCACACTTATTTTTCTTTTAATACAATGAATATACAATATATAAATGTTTTTTGTGAATATTTTTTGTATTTTTTATATGTTTGTGTGTTTTCATATTTTTTAATTATTATTATTTAACAATGACATCAAGGGTTGACACATTTTGACCCAAAATGTTGAATTGTTAATTTGCCACCAAACATGAAAATAAATCCATTTTGAGTTATTTGTTTTTTATTTCTATCATCAATAAAAACAACTATTCTTTGTCACACTTATTTTTCTTTAATTTAATATGGTTAATTAATATAAAATTCAATAAAAGGATGAGAATTAATACCCTAAATATAAGACTTAATGTGAGGAAATTGAATGAAGAAAAGTGTAGTAGTTCAAATTACATTTTGTGCCCTCACAATTAGAGATATACCTAACAAAAATAGAGGTATTCTAGTTAAGACAGGATTCCGTGAATGTTAATGGGAGTTAATACCTTAAATATAATACTTAATGAAAGGGATTTGAAACGAGGAAAAAAGTGGTTACTCAAATTACATTTTTTTCTTTAGAATTAGAGAGACACCAAATTCAAAAATTGGGGTATTTTAGTTAAACAAATTTCTCTCATTCACACTTTTTAATACTAATATAGATATAAACATAGATTAAAGAAAAGGACCCCTATAATCTTTCAAAGCTATTAATGTATGTACGTACGTATATATGTATGTATGTATGTATGAGAGATTTCAAACTTGTTCTGATTATAGAATTGCATGAAACTTGACACTAGACCCATATAATGGGTATCATAACTCGCCACCCATCCTTGCCCTTAGATTAATTAGCTGGGCCAAAATTCAGTTCATACATAACGATAATAACCCTAGAAAACTTTGTATATGGCTATAAAACTAACTTTACTTATATTATTAATGCCAAAATTAGATGGTTAAATCACACCAGATGGAACTAATTTTTATTACACCCATGGTTTTAGTAGGAACCTACTCAATGTTGGTCCTGATTCTTCCAAGATAACAGACAAGTGGAAAGTTATGAGGGCCCAAGACCTCTATTTATATCTAAAAACAAGATGCTTCCAATAAAACATGTACGTCCAGATTATTATTTTGAGGTTGCATTTGAATGCGGTGTAAAAATATAATTACACTGATGGAGTTATATGCTGATTGGTATGAAGTTATGGACCATTGTAAATGAAAAGTGGGATTATCATCGATGTAAATATTTACATCATTTTTATTGAAACTGTAGTTTACTCGATGTGAGTGGAGTTTTACATCGATTTTCGATGTTTAATTATACTCCATCCAAACGGCTACAAAACCAGACCGAAGTATTACACTGGCCTAGTATTTACATTACAGACAAATGCAGGATGAGGGGGCATTTGGAAAGTAATTTGGTGTGGTATTTTGTGCTTTTCAAAACTTGGAAGACCAACATTTAGTCTTTTTCTATTTAGTAATGAAAGATAGGAAGCCAAAAAAACCTAGGCTCTAAAAAGTTAATGGAAGCCTAAAATGGCTAAAAGTATGAAAGCTTCTAAAATTTTTCATTTAACAGCTATATAGATCATGGTAGAGTAAAATACTTATCAAACGGTCTAAACTTGTAAAGACAAGACTCCAAAAGTTCATTATATCTTTTAACAATCTAGAGTGTGAAGAGATCTTCTTAAAAGATTTGCCAAACAGCACCTAAATATATACAATATATTTACATCTCTTTTCAATCCTTTATATTATCATATCGGATATGGGATATTACCATGCATCACACCGGGTTTTCATTGAGATACTCATCAATAATGTTGTTGATATCTTAATTAAAAGAACTTTAAATAACAAGATTATATATATGCAGTGAGTTAATTGCAATGGATATTTATCTTTAACTAGCCCACTAATATATATCGTGACTCGTGAGCATCGATATTGGTTTATTAAAGAGGGAAATTAAATCGCAATAATATCTTTTAATTATCCTGATATCCAGGGGTGATTTGATTTGATTAATTAGGGCTCAATAAGCTCAAGATTGAGTGCACAGCACACACGTAACCGCTGTCAAAACTTAGAAGGAAGCCATATTGTATCACAATTAGATTCGGTTTCAGTTTCCTAAAACTGAATTAGTTGTGGGTGGGTGGGTTGGAAATAACCCCATGTTTAATTTTGGATTTCTTTATTTATAAAATAAAAATAAAAAAGAATTCTAAGGGGGTAGGGAAACAATCAACAGCCAATAGGAAGAGGAGAGAGAATGAATGTTGAAGCTGAGGTGGACAACTGCATGGATGCTCGGGTTTAATTAAGTATATAACATAGATAGAAAGAGGAGCAGATTAATTTCCACCATTTCCATTTCGAAACCAATCTGCTCCATCATTTTTTCCGCAGTAAGAAAAGAAGGAAAAAACACCGGAAAGCCTCTCCTCGTGGACAATTCCCACCGGAAAAGCAGCCGATATTTCCCCACCACCTCGTTAGTCCATAACAATATATCTTGTGTATATATATAAATCGGAATCCATGAGCAACGTCAGGGGCGGCGGTGCCACCGCTTGCGCTGCGTGTAGATACCAACGGAAGAAATGCCCTTCAGATTGTCCTCTCGCGCGTTATTTCCCTCCCGATCGCCAGGGAGATTTCCACAATGCCCACAAACTGTTTGGCGTAGGCAACATTACAAAACTCCTCAAGAACATTTATCCCCGCCAGAGGGACGACGCCATGAGAAGCATTATCTACCAGGCTAACGCTCGTGCCAAGGATCCAGTCGGTGGGTGTTTGAGGATCGTTCGGAGGTTGAATCAACAGATCGATCGAGAAACCATGGAGCTCAAACTTGTTCTTCGTCAGCTCGCTTTTTACCGAGCACATGCACATCAACAGCAGCAGTACCAGATCCCAATGCAAGAAACTGCATCCCTCTTCCATCATCTACATCATGGAACATTAATTAATCCCGATCCTATCAATACGTATAACCCCTTTCATCACCTTGATCGACAACAACCTCAACACCAACCTCTCCATATTGATGATCAACTTCAACTGCGACAGGATTCTCTTGTTGCTGATAATCAGCAGTTTCACGGTGGTCTGAATCAATGGACGACCATACAGGATCCAAGATCAATGGTCATGCAAGACCCCGGCGGCAGTAGTAGACTTGAGACAGAGGTGCTATCCCCATTATCATCGTCGTTGAATGTGAAGAACCAGCCACAACTCTTGAATGAATCCGGGGACATCATCAAACCTCTTCTTGGCATATTTGACGAAAGAGAATCGCTTCCTTACGATTCTAAAGAACCAACCGCCCAGTCCGGGTACGTGATTATCGTTTTATATAAAAACATTTTTAATTGAAATTGAAAATATTAATATCATCATTTAATAAATTGGATTTGGAACAAGAAAAAAAAGTTGATTTAATGAGATAGTTATACGTCGAGAACTTTTCAACTAATTTTGTTCAAAGAATCTAAACTGGAAGACACTTGTAAACAAAGATTTGATCGATGATGTTATTACATTTTTTTGTTTTCGAGTTCAACGGAATAAAAAAAAACTTGTAAACAAAATGTGATTTCAATCTTTCTTTTGGCTAAACATGCAATATTTGATATCAATTGAATTGAAATGGGAGATGGGTTTTCCTTATTGAGGTCATTATATTAACCGTATACTCATTAGCAATTATGGATTAATATAATTTTATATCTGCTAATGAATTACAAGTTAGGCGCTATTGTGAATAGGCAACCCTCAGAGACCTAGCTATCTTAATTATGCCAGACCCACATTACCTACTATAAGAATTCACAAAATTCTCCCAGAATTCTATTTTGCCTAGTTAACTGTGGGGAGTACTGAAACCTAATTTCAGAACGTGAACTACATAAGATTGATTTTTGGTCATTCTCAGGCAAGTATGAATGAGAAATGATACATTGAGACAATGAATGAGGCTTTTACATGGGACTTTTCTTGAGACATTACTTCCATATCAAGTGAAAATTCTTAAACAAGGTGACTGAGGGCACTATCACTGTATTAGTTTATATGGTTTCAACCTCTGGAAAGAACCTTATTTGTTTTTGGTACCATTGCTGTTATTTTCATCCTGAAACGTTCCGGGCTGTTTAATACAAACTAAAATAAACTGTAATTTGAGGCTGTTTTATAGTTTGAAACAGGCATTACCTGAATAAATGCATGTATGGGAGAATGTTGTAGATTCTTGCTCTAGAGAAGATGAAGACTTTAATCATTCTAACTGAAGTGACTCTCGAGTCTCTATGTAGTGTGACAAAACACAAAATATATCAAAGATTACTCCGTTTACGATAATTTCACTGTCCAACTGACCAAATGACTGAACAGAATTATTGATTATTGAATCAATTTTCGGGTCCCAGTAATCCATATATATATATAATAGTGATTTAGTTTATGTGCTCTGAGCCTTTACAGAGAAAACTATAGAATAATCGGCAAACTATATCTTTTTTATGTGCTCTGAGCCTTTACCTCCCAAATAATAGTGATTTAGTTTTTGCAGTGGAGAAGTTGTTTCAAAAGAAGCAGACAACGAATTCAACTCGATGGTGCAAAAAGGAGATAACGATGCCATGGAAAATGTACATGATTTGAAGGGAGCGGCTTCTTTGTTCACTCTTACGAACTCAACAGTGACGGAGTAGACATTTCTCTCTCTCTCTCTCTCATGTGTGTGTTGTGTCTTTTGCTTTGTAAATAGATAGGGGTAGTCATATAGGAAAAATGTCAGTTTGTAATACTGAGGACTTTTTTCTTCACTTTGCTTAGGTTTTATTTTACTTCCTCTTCAATGAAAATGGGAAAAACAAGGAAAAAACTGAAAAAAAAAATCAGATTTTGCTTTCTCATACTTTTCTTTTCAGGACAGATGAAATTACAATACAAACAAACCAGGTATGTATTTTTGAGTAACACATCTTCCTTAAACAACTTGTCAAATGATAAAAATAAGCTTTTAAATCTCTTAGGGGAGTGCAATGTTAGAAATAAATAGAAATACGGGACTATGTTAATAGTCTTTATATTTTTTAAAAACTATTAAACTATTAATTATGATAGCACTTATATAGGTAGGTATTTGGATTTAAACAATCCATGTATTTGGATTTAACTTTTATGGCTTGCACAGAACTCGAGGGAAATATCCTATAATGAGTCCTTGTTTTGGAGTTATACAATTCTGATCCTTATGCCTACACCCATGGCAATATGTTTACATTTTTTTTTATGAAAATTTGTTTATGTTTTGCTGCATTTGTTCCAAAAGGAAAAATATCATGCCGGAAAGACATGATATTGGAAAGGTTTTGATCAATAAAAAACCCCATTGAATTTTGATGAAAACGTACATGATTGATCATCACTTTTATGATACTGATTGATTATAAGTTTTCGGTATCATGTCCTTTTAGCATCATAGTGGAACCTATTCCAAAAAAATATCATCAAATAAGTTAAATAAGATAAAAAACAGTTTTTTTTTTTTTGTTGAAGTACAACTAAGTAATAGCTTGAAATTAGGGGTGCAAAGTTGGGTTGGCCTGGTTCCCTTAGGGTTGAAAAATATAAATCAACCTAACTTTGGTTTGAGTTAGGTTCAGACTCAGGCAACCCAACCTAATCTGACATGTACATATTTACCTATCTATATCATAGTAGGGAGACAATTTTTTATTTTATTTTTATTTTTCTAATAGAGAGACAATTATATGGCTCTCCTTATGTTTTTTTTTTGGGTAAATGTAAATCTATGATGCCTGAAAGGTATGATAATGGAATAGCTTTGACCAATAAAAATTCCCTTTGGATTTTGATGAGAACCGCCAGACTCTTGCCACTTTTATAATAAGGGTTGATTGGTTATAGGTTTTTTCTTGTACAATGTATTTTCAGTATTGTAAAATCCTTTTTATATTTTTAGAAAATAGTAAAATTAAATTCACGCACTATTTTTTGAAGCCAATTCCCTCTCCTTTTATATGCCAGAAGATCAAGTAGTGACTCAGTTTGTACGTTAACTGCATAGTTCCAGCAAAGATGCGGATTTAAGTCCCGCTATCTATTACCACCTACCTTGGAGAATTATTTATGTGTTGTGTTAAATATCGAAAAAGACCAATTACTATAGTCAACCTCTCTCCCAGCCCATGGGCCACACTATTGGTCCGTGGGATTAGGGGTTTTTCTTGAAGTTGAACGAGGACAATTGTGAACGCATGGTAGTGGCATGCCCATGCCAATGTTTTGCTAGCCAATAATGTGGTGACATTCGCATTTTTGTTTTGAGTAATCACCATGTTAGTATTATTTCTATGCCCC